TCTGGTCAAATTCCCTCGTGCTTCGTGGGAAAAAATAACCAACTCTTGTAAGTATAGGCGTGAATATTCTAAATTTCCTCTTACGAGTATGTATCAAATCAATCTGTATAACGGTATCTAGTTGTTAAAGTAAATCTTGTAGTTTAACCAAATCATAATGACTACTTTTTATAATATGTCGAACACGTTTGAACATACTCCATCCGTCCCGAAAAGTCTATCCTGTTTCGAAAAAATTACGTTCCTTAAAGTCCGTTCTATTTCTATTAAAAAACCATTTTTCCCCTTTATTTTTTCATACCCTACCTATCACATCATATTTTTTTCCTAATAATCCACTCATAACAATCGTACTTTTACCCATCACATCAAAGGTATTTTTGGAAAGTAATACCAAAATATTTCTCTTTATTTTACAACTTTAGTAAAAATGAGACAAACTTTTTGGGACGTAGGACATTATACAACATCCTAGTAGGGTTATTAGCTTTAAAAAATCTCTATCTACTAAATCCATGTTTTGTCTCGCAAGCTTTACTTTTGTTATGCTGAAAACCGTTTTTTTGTACCACTTTTTTTCAAATGCTAGAGATGAAGACATTTACTCCGTATAAAATGGAACTCCTCCGGAAGGATGTACTTTAATTGAAACAGCTGGACGATAACTAATGATGAGATTCTTACTTTGCGATCCAAAGCTGTTATTTTTTCGAGTTCAAACAGTTCTTTTTAGAAAGTCTAGTACGTCTTAAAGAGAAAAGTGTAATATTAGCCCCATTTAAATCTCACTACTTTTGACCCCAATTGTGTTCAGAGGTATTATCAGTGTTCAATGTTTGTAATGTCTGTGAAGGTAATTTTACAGATACTACCAGTGTTTAATGTTTGTAATGTCTGTGAAGGCAATTTCACAGATATTACCAATGTTCAATGTTTGTAATGTCTGTAAAGAGAATTAGCGTCTAATGTGGGTTTTAAATTGGGGTTAATATAGCATGACTCAAATCTTAATTTTATGAGAACATAAAAGAGGATATGTGAACTAATTACTTCATCTATCCCACACAAAAAATTGCTTTCTTTTTTTATCTGTCTCAAAAATAATTCTCATTTTTATTAAAAAATCACTTTTATCTATACTAATTTTTAATATATCAATCACATCACATTTTTTCACTATTAATATATCCATAATATTCTGTTACTTTTATCAATTATATCCAAGAACATTTTTTTAAAGTTAACATCAAAATATTCTTTTATTAAATTTTCTAAAAGTCAAAACCAGAAAATTTTTATGGGACTTATAACCTAGTACGTACAAGGATCTCATGCATGTGCATTGTGCAAACCTTGCGTGCACATATATACAGCAACTTCAAAGGCAACCCAAATCTAGATCTATATGGTGTGACGACTCCGCCAGGCACAACAGTTATGCAACCGCCTAGTGGTTCCGGTTCAAATTCCACTCCCAAAAGGTTTATTTCTACTTTGTTAAATGAAATGATTTCTCTCAGAGATCTATTAATTAAAAAGTATTACGATCGGTAGAGTTTGATCATAAGGCCAATATTTTTTTTAATGCATGGGTTCGCAGCATTGGATGGATACTATTGATGACGATAATCACAATAATGAGTCTTGTTTCGCCGTGGATTGTTGTTAGAGTGAGACAAGAGATCAGCTACTATAGGTAGATATATGGTGTCGCTGATTGGACACGCGATGATGCCCCATATCAATTTCTGTTGGCGCGCGTGACCTCTCATCATCAATCGGTCGTTTGACCCCCCCCCCCCACTTTATCCACTCCCATTATGTTGTTGCTTGTTACATGTTTTCCCGCCAATAATTCTTATTGTAATACATTTATCCTGTTTGCCTAAAAAAGAATTACAAACCTTACTATTTAAAAGTTACAGAATCTTTCGTTTAATTATGCATCTCGATTGATTATTTGATAAAATAAAATATTTTTGTCACCTCTCGAAGCAATGCGCCAAACACTATCATCAGTCGGCATGGATGTCCAAGCCATTGGCGATGTTCGCTACATGTTCTATTTCTTTCATGAATCAGACAGGCTTCGCGTCATCACCTTGGGGCCTTGGACCTTCAATAACCAGCTTCTTGTCACCGGCCACAGTGGATTCTACTCCCCCACCTCAACAACCCAGAAAAAAACACACCACAGATTTCTTTAATTAGAAGGAGATTGGAATTATTGGCTTAAAAGGCTCAACCATGGGAAAGGCCATCCTAAAACAATGTTGTTAGACGCCTCGCACACCTCTAGAGGGGGGGTGAATAGAGGTGTTGCCCAAAAGACCGGTTTTTTTTTTGCGCGGAAACGTTCTTCACGAATATTTTGCCTACATCCAGTCCCCGAAGCAATCGTGCCCAGGCCTTCACTAACACGTCAAACTTAACGGAGTTTGACAATCCGAATACAACTCGAGAACTTGATTTCACAAGCCTCTTATCTTACCACCGAAGTTTTGATTTCACAAAACTCAGGATTTCTTCCACCTAACGTTTGATTTCACAAACCGTTAGGATTTCTACCACTTGGTGTAATCCCAACACCAAGAATACAAATCCCTTACAATAAAGTAAGAAAACAAACCGCAACCGAGTAATTCTCCCAACACGGAGTA